GGGTTTTGTTGTTGCCTAACTGATGAATTATTTTCGAAGCCAGCCAAATAGTGATACTCCAAGCGTGACCTAGACCACAGGCCGCGTATGGTGCAGACAGCTGACATTTCAAATAATCGATACACCCTTAGGACCAACCCACAATATATTGTATTGCAAAAGCGACAAGTTAGTTATCATATATTTGCATAAACACAATAGGTATATTTTCACTTAAATTAACAAGACATTCTTATCTGCATAATTTATAATTTTAACTGATGGAGATAAAATAACTGATAACAATGATCACAAATGGTTAGTTCACAGTACAGATGAGGTCAAATGTTTTAAGGTTGTTTAGATGAAATCTTCCCATGATTTTGGCAAAGAAATATTTTGAGAAAACAATAAATTAATGATCCCTTTAAATACTTTGTAGTACAACATCTGTACTTACGAAATCAAATGAAGTGTAATAACCACGCAAGTAAATTCTGTTATATGTTGTTTATATTGTTGATTTTTTTACTAAATTGTAATTGGACATGAGTTTCAATTCTAAGTAATTTAACTAAAATAATGTAGATGTAATGAGTAGCAAAATAAAATAGTTCATTGTAATCACACTTTGAAAAGTAATCAATTTATCTCGCATGTTTCTTAGACATGACCTTAAGAATAGAAAATTGTCTTGTGTTAAATCAATTTTCTTGTTGACTTGTTGAATGTCTTCATAAATAACTCGATAATCACTGGACATATTCACTGATATATCGGGTGTCCCAAAAAATGAGACACTTTTTGCCAAGTATTTTCTCGGCAATTGATTAACCAAATTCACTGAGAATAGGTACAAATTAGCCTGAGAGTATCAATAGAGAGTTGTAAAAAAATATAAAAACGATCAAGCAAATATTCTGCGAGAAATAAGAAATTCAAAATAACATGTCAAAATCAAAGAAATTATGGTCCCCTTGGGATTATGGTCCCCTTTCTAAACGGCCCTTATTGGCCCTGATTGTGTATAAGATAATAAGGGAAAGAGTTGTATTTAGGTCACCATATAAATCAATGGAGAGTAGGACCATAATTTGAGAGGACCTCCTACCCTTTTACACCGGAGCTCTGCGATAAGACCTCTATAGTGTTTGTACCAGCTATCAGGTGATAGCATTTGTAAATAAGTGAAAAAAGCTTGTCTGTGTGTCATGCCTACTTAGCATTTTGACATGCTATCTTGAACTGATCTTTTTCATATTTCTGTACCTTGCTAACGATACTCCTGGGCTACTTTGTACAAATTTTCAAAATATTTTGTTCATCTTTTGCCGAGAAAATACTTGTCAAAAAGTGTCTCATTTTTTGGGACACCCGATATATTTCCCAGATTTCCCAGTTATTCCGGTATGTTAATTTACAGGGTGTCCACAAAACAGGACCGTAAGAAAGTTGAATAACTGTCAATTTTGCATATTTTGCCTTGAAATTTCAGAATTATTTAGTTCATTTAATGTGAATTTTGTTTTGAAAGTTTGATAATAATCTACCAATTGAGTAAAAAACTACAGCTCCTTACAAAACATGCCCCAAATGTGCAAATCTCATCTCTATGCACAATTCAGTCCGGCGAACAAAGCTGTTGATGATCCTCCTACACACATGTCTTTCTGAATGGACAAGTTTGTTCCAAAAACAATTGCTACTGGGGCTTACATCCTCCTGGTGAAGTGTTGCAGCATCCATTGCATTCTGAACAATGCACTCCCTGGGTGGCAATGAGGAAACATGGAATCATCAGTCCCTTTTGGTTCGAAGGTGACCCTTATATTAACAACTTTGTTCGTAGGATCCGTTTGTGCATAGAGAGAAGTGCCCACTTTGAGCATGTTTTGTAAAGGACTGTAGTTTTTGACACAATTGACAGATTATCATCAAACTTTCAGAACAAAATTCACATTAAATGAATTAAATAATTCTTAAATTTCAAGGCAAAATATGCAAAATTGATCGAGTTATTCAACTTTCTCATGGTCCTTTTTTGGACACCCTGTAATAGCTGCACATACTAGCACATATTATATAATATTAAATATAGCTTAAAAGGATGGAATCGAATAATTAGCCTATAATTCATTTAATTACTATTAAATGCACTTATGTAATACAGAGCAATAGTCTTGCTTCAATACTGGAGACCTGTCTCTCTTCTAAACAACACAGTTGATAGAGAAGATCGTCCATGCACTCTTAAAAATTATTACTTGGATTTCCTTATATTGAGAAATTGTACTACTCATTTTAAGTCAAAAATTACTTAAATAATCTTGAACTACTGAATAATTTTTAAGTAATTTTTAAGTAATTCAATTATGGTGAATTTACTAATGCAAGGAGAGAAATTGAAATACTTACTGTAGTAATTGTAATACTCATTTACATAGTTAAGCAATGACAGAACTCAAAATGACAATATAAGTTAAACCTAAGTAAAATGAAGTAAAACTAAGTATTTAACTTTAAGTAATTTTTATACTTGGGAAATACTCAAGTAATTCATTTTTAAGAGTGTGGTCTTGAAGCAAGACTATATGTAGCATCCACCAGCTTCAAAGCTGATGTGAAAATTGATCATTAGTCATTACCGCCAGCACAAAACATGATTGTCTTATTCATATTCATTACAACTATTGTTATTTTTTATCAAGATTATTATCATTTGAAATGACTATGTATTTCCATAAAAGTCAAGTAGATGTATTTTCCAGTGGTAGATGCATATGATAGATACGCGTAACAGCCTGCTTTGTGCTATACCGTATCATATGTACACTCCCCTCTGTATGTTTGGCAAATGGAAGTCTCCTTTTAGATGACTCATTAAGAAATTTGTTTGTGTTTGGTGATTTATAACAATCGTCTTTGTCATAAATTTCCGAAATATTGCAATTAAGGAACAGACACAAACATTAAAGGATATTGCGATAGGAAAGCACAATTAAGAACCGTCCTGGAGTTTTTTTGCATGTTGAGTGGTATCACATATTTACCTATCTACTCACCAACAAAGAAGTACCAAATCTGCCGCTGTTTGTGCTAATTTTGCGTTTGTACAGAACAATCGAATTATTTTCGTCGAAATTAATAAGATCTGAAGTTTGAATAAACAGTGGAAATCCTCTGATTGGTCTTTAAATTTTTTATCATGAATCTGATTGGCTGCCTGATTCAAAGCACGTGTTGACACTTGTCAACTAATGGGGATTCCGCTCGATGGCCGCACAATCAATTGTGTTCAATTCTGCATCTTTACAGACTTTGGTAATATGGTATCCGAAGAAAACTCCCCGTTTCCAAACTTATGAAGTTGAGTGTATAAACGCCGTCGCTGCCTTTGAACTCAAGCATAACAAACTTATCAGTGTGAGGAAGTCAGCATAAGAGTATATTTTGAAATATGAATAACTAAATGTAATAATCAAAATAATCACAAAGAGAAAACGGTCCATGCAAAACTATCAGAAATATGGTAGTCTAGCCACAAGTCCCTCTGACTTCCCCTCCCACTTCTTGACTACGCAGGTATGATAACCTCTCACACAGGGTAAATGTGTGTTTCAACATGTATTGCTATGACTTCACTATGAATAAAATTGGTATTGGTATTGGTATTGTTTTTTCGATTGTGATATCTTCAGATCTTGCCATTTTATATTTTCATCAATATATACATAGGCTTTCGATTACCTTTGGCAATAGTTAAAAATCGATGTTTGATTGAAATTGGTTACTTTGACCCGCGGAGTTTTTACTGATGTTGGATTTTCATTTTGCGTGACAGTCTTTTGTTTGTTTAAAAGCCCCATGCAATGGTTAAACCACTTATATTGTGGCCTGTTATTTTACCAAACGACCCTCGGTGTATTTATCCGCCATTCATTAGCTGATTAAATCACACCTTTATGGTGTTTAACTACAGTATTTCATAATACCCGAAATATAGCGAAATTATTTAAAGTAAAGTATGAAATGTCACATATATGAACCTATACCATAACCCTAAGCCATTTCCATAAATTTAGTTGACCCCCGGCACCGTCTATTTGAATGTATATTCATTTCCAAAAGTAGGTCGAGTGGGGTCAGAATAGGTCAACCAAAGCAACCCAATGGAATTTTTAGCGTTTTTTCGTCATCTTCAAGTCCATCATTTTCATACAATTATGCATTTCTGTTGATTGTAATGGAAAGTAGGCAGTCATGCAGTGTACAAAGAAAGCTGAAAACGATCATGTAACTTTGAAACTATTTTATCAGAAGAAAGGCGATGTTTCGCATTTTGATATTTTTGGACGCATATTTTCAACTACCTGACGGCTGATGAACTTGGCCTCTGTAACAAATTGCACTTCATATCTGTGACTTAGGCGACTAAAGAAACCATGGAAATAGTTCCTTGAAGAGAGCTCGATTTGAAAACACCGTGGGTTGAATAATACAACCTGTGAAGTCAAATAGAATGATATTTTATAATAAGAAGACGAAGCTCCCTTTTAAGGAGTGAAGTCTGACGAATGCAAATGATAGCCTTAAACATATACGATGTCTAAAACCAATATCAATGATATATTCGGATCAATGAAATATCAATAAAAATACACAAGAGACATTTTAACGTATACTACCGACGAACTTTGAAAACTATCACATAGTGCACGCAAAGGAAAACTAAAACTGATGTAATCAACAAAAGTTGCGTATAATTAGTGACATTAAAACGAAAACCCTTAAAACAAACATACAACTGGTGATACTGAAGTATTTGCTGAGGACATAGGCAAGCCCAATAATTTTGTCAATACAAATTATATACCTTGTACCTTATCTCTATAGGTAAAAACTCAATTACAATCTATGCAATTAATAAATCGTAATGACACACTAATTTAATGAACATAATGATAGAAATTGTCAGTTATGTTAAACTATATCGCTATTGGCAATCTTTGAAAACATATCTAAATTAGTTAGTTCATTTTCAGCTAGACATTGGAAGTGGATGAAACCGTAACTCTGAATTCACCTGCACTTAATAAATATATGTGCATAATTACCATAGGCGTTCATAGTAAATGCAATCGTGCTCAGCGGATGGCAAAAAGTAAATGGCACACGGCCAGCTCAAGATATATACTATTCTCGCAACTGGACTGTAAATATCAAAAATAAACTGTATCGGCGGGACAATTACTGGCAAGTTATTTAATGTAACATATTTTTGTGGACACTTTTACCAATAAACCGAGCGCATAGCTGTGCGAAGTTAGTTAAAACAATACGATGGTTAAGATAGGATATGCTATGGAAAGTTTATGAGCAACATTATATAAAGATGCTGGTAACAAAAATTAACGTACAAGATGGCAATACATGCAATATATTGAAGCCTATGTCAGCGGTATTAAAAAGGTAAGTTTTTGGAATAAAGAATTAACACAAATGATTGATCATACATTGAATTAATCCCACCTATTGTAGAACGGAAAATGCCAAGATAATGCACAGATGTTGATATTCCCTCGATAATTTTGTTATCATTATTTTAATGCAGGAAATGAAGTTTCTAAAATCATAGACAGTAGAAAATTTGATTGGCAATTCTATCGTTTCAGCGCTAATCACCCGTGCAAAGAGGATGGGACTATGAGATTCGTATAGGGAGAATCAACAATAGTACAAAAACAATGATCCGTCGTAAAAGGCTAAAATCGCTGGTCTGTATAGTGGTGACAGCGTGGGTATATCTAGGATTGTGGTCCCTGGCCGCTATCGAGTGGTTGCAGGATGACCGATCCATTCTTCAAAATAACAACATATTCCAGGACAATTATGATGTTAGCATAAGAGAGACTGATGACAGCCCTGATATTTTAGACAGCTTCTACATGCAAAACAGCCTGAATGAAAAATTCATAACGCGGATTTTAACGAGCACTACAACTGTAAAACCTAACACGAGTGCCAAGAAGATTAACGACAAAGTGAAACACCAGCGGGCAGATGCAATACTGGCATGGCGAAGTCATTTAAATAAGGTCGCATCAGCTGATTTCAAATCTACACAAATACCTGCTCAAAATAAAAACACAGTACATTATAGCATTAAAGATAGAATATTTAATTTATTAAGGATAGCTGCTATTAAAAATCCACCTGTCGGATTATGGGATAACATTTATACATTAATTAATGATTTACATACCCATCAATTATTTGATTTTTACCTACAGCTCGATACATATACAAACAGTCATATACTTCAAAATGACACGTTGTCATACTTGTTTGACATGTTAACAACAGTCAAAAAGCAAAGTGAAAATAGTGACACTATTTTAATAGTAAATGACATCCTAAAACAGCTTCAAAAATTGAATATAACTATTAAAACACCTGTATATAAATCAAATGATACTCAAGACAAATCATCACCGTTTAGGCATGGTGCTACCAATCACACATCGATATCAACCAAACAGGTACATAAAATAAGGCCAAAGGTCGCACATGCTACCCGAGCTACACCAAAATTGGGATGGGCGCCAACTAGAAAAGCTAAAATAGCCCTCCAAAAAGTATCGATGGATTGGAGTGATGAACCACTTGTCATACCTGAACCGGGGTACTATTTCTACCAGGGGATAAATGACCCTGTTAAAATCCCTGATTCTGTGCCTGAAGAACATAGGTGGAGATACAGATCGGATATCTTATTCTGGAATAAAAATGACACATTGTACCAAAAATGGCAAAAATGGAAAAGTAAAATAGTTTTTCCACCTGAGTCGATGAAGAGAGAGGTGGAACGCGTTTGTAATGAACTCAATCCAATGAGGAAGAAACTGTGTGATATGTTCAAAAAATGTTACCCAAATACTATAGAAACAACAATCATACTATTACCAGACTCAACAACTTATGTAATAACCGGTGACATCCCTTTGATGTGGATGAGAGATTCAAGTGCCCAAGTCTTTCCCTTGCTCAGTCTTGCCCCACAGGACCCAACCGTGCAGGTGCTCCTAGAGGGTGTCATCAGGCGCCAAATAAAATGGATCCAAATGGACCCATATGGTTCATCTTATAGACTTTTCCTTGATTTTGATTACATGAATAAAAAGGTACTCACAGATTGGGACTTCCAAAGTGGTAGAACAGTCCATGTCTCCATGCATAACTACGAGATTGATTCTCTTTGTTATTTCATCAGACTTTCTTACTATTACTGGAAATCAGTTGGGGAGGATTTTATATTTGAATCTGAATGGAAAAAAGCAGTTGAAATCATAATAGACACTTGGATAACTGAACAATATCATAGCTCTTCCAGTTCCTATAGATACCCAGAGCTGCCCAAAGAAGGGAAGGGTACAGATACGTGCTACACTGGGATGACTTGGGGAGGGTTTAGACCTAGTGACGATAAAATGGTTTTCCATTATAACATCCCAGCAAATATGTTCGTTGTTGTCTCTCTGAAACAAATTACAGAAATTGCAACTGTCGTTTATAAAGACCAGGCCCTGGCGGATAAGGCCATAAAACTAGCGAAGGAGATTGATCTTGGAATTGAAACCTATGGTATTATACTTGATGAAAACTATGGCTTTATGTATGCCTATGAGGTAAACGGTTGTGAACGATCAATAAAAATGGACGACGCAAACATTCCTAGTCTCCTATCAATACCGTATTTGGGATACAAACCATTATTCGACCCAGATGGTACGATCTATGACAATACGAGGCGCTTTCTATTGAGTAAAGATAACCCCTCTTATTTCAAAGGGAGTGAAGTCAAAGGCATTGGTAGTCCACATACAGGGATGGAAAAGGTATGGCACCTTTCGCTCATCATGCAGATCCTCACTACAGACAATCTAAACGAAATAGAGGAAGCTCTTGCAATGATTGAGAAAGGAAGTAAGGATAACTTCATGCATGAAAGCTTTAATGTTGATCGACCAGGATCTTACACTCGCTCTTGGTTCTCATGGGCTAACTCACTCTTCTCAGAAATGATCATCAAAAAACTAAATGTCGTGGCAAATATCGAGCCTCCTCCAAAAATGTCCATACCCGTTTATCCAACATTCCCAAGTGGTGATATACACAAGAATGCAAGAACCACGCCAAATAAATCGGTGGATCTTACTGGAGTTCAAATTTTGACAACTGGGGACTTCTACCTAAGATCTTCGATAAGAGATGTCGTAAATCTAGATAGTAAATTACCACACTATACTTGGAAATATCATAACAGTTCTACTCTGTTTTGGACAAATAGAGATAAGCTGTATAACAAATGGAATTCATTACACGCTAATCTCCAGGGATTTACGTCGGAGACTATTAATAAAAATGCAATTACAATGTGCAATGAACTAGGACCAAATAAGGAAAAGTTATGCGAAATGTATACAGCAGCTTTGAAAAGCACTTTAAAACGCAGATTAGTTCTATTACCAGATTCAACAGTACATGTCATTTCTGGTGACATTCCTGTCATGACTCTGACAGATTCAACCAATCAGATGCTTCCTCTACTGAATTTCGTCAGCCATGACAAGACACTTCAAGTTTTAATTGAGGGAGTTATCAGACGACAAATAAAATGGATCATGATGAATCCTTACGGATCTGCATTTAGATTATACGTAGACAATTACCATATGAACAGACAAGCATTGTCAAAGGTAGAAATTAATTATGGAACGACCGTCCATACTGCAGCAAACAATTTCCAATTAGAAAATTTATGTTCGTTCATAAATCTATCCTATAAATATTGGAATGTTGTCAATGAGAACGAAATATTTGACAAGGAATGGCGGGCAGCTGTAGACATAATTATGCAAACGTGGTTAAATGAGCAAATGCATAACACTCTTAGCGTTTATACTCATCCATCTTTGGAAAATAGAGGGCAGGGTACGAAGGTTTGCTATACAGGATTGATATGGGGAGGGCATAGACCAGATGGCTTTCCAATGGCATACCACTACAACATCCCGGGTAATATGATGGTTATCGTAGCACTTAGAAACATAGCCAAGATTGCGTCTGACGTCCTAAAAGACAATGTCTTGGAAAATCTCGCAACTGAGCTAGCTGATCAGATTGACACAGCGATTCATAACTACGCTGTTATCCAGATTGCCGACAACGTACAAGTATATGCATATGAGGTGAATGGTTGCGGGGACTACATACTGATGGACGAAGCTAGCTTCCCCAATTTAGTATCCATTCCTTTCATGCAGTATGACACTAAATACGACCCCGAAAGGCAATTATATAAAAATACCAGGGCCATGATCTTCAGCAAGCAAAATCCTTTCTATAGAACTGGAATAGCTGTCAATGGTTTGACCAGCAGAAGGGATTTGTCGGAAGATGTCTGGTCGATCAGTTTAATAATGCGTGGACTTACCGCAACGAATACGACAGAATTACAAAATTCACTTATCAATCTCCAGAATAATATGCCAGAACTTGCTTTAATTCCAGAGCATATTCAACCTGATGGTATCACCAATAAAACTCTACCCCAATGCGAGATATGTAACTCATTGTTTGCAGAACTTCTTTTAAGAAACATTTCATCGATTAAACAAATGAATTTCCCACAAATTTCTCCCGTATATAAAGTCAATGAGGAACCAATAATAACAGCTTCGAAAGAGCTAGATTCGGATGAGCTAACCACCAAAGCTGTGACACATGGTGGAACTGATCGTATAGCAAATAATAAAAACAAAGGAATTATCATCGATAGAAACGCAAACCACAAATATCAAGCAGGTCAAACAGTGCTTGCCGCTAGAAAAGGTAATATCAAAAACCAGCAGGGCAAAGGCGAGTTGATAGAGAAGAAGGTTCAGGCACCACCACAGAGTAAAATAATCAAAGACAAGAAAATGAATCACATCGATGAAAAAAATTAACAGATACGAAACCGGGGACTAACCACATAGTCATGAAACAGTATAGAAATAATAAAGAAAAAGAGAAACAAGTTTCGAACTAACCCACAAGATAGATTGCGTCATAACACGAATGTCATTTAGTCAGAAGAGTCATAATATCCATTTTAACAGATGACAAACATAATCGTTTAGTTAAGGAATATGTTTATCATCTTGCACAAAGTCTGCCTCGAAATTGAGATCATCGGTTAAACGATGTCAATCGATATTCAGCTTACAAATTAGCTAAACCTGATTTCAAAAAAGAAAAATTGGAAATTTGGAAAATATTGATTTTTGAATAACGTCATATTTACGAAGGGATCGACCGAGATGATATTTTCCATTATCAATCCAGGTTATGAGGGATTCACCCGAATGCTTCCAGTATAATTTTAACATTTTGCATTCATTGGTGCAATTTTTATATGCCTAAGAAATATTCAGTTTATTCAGCCGTCTGGCGTTTCTTCATCTTTAACAATAGCGGCATTATAGATACAAATACAAAAGAAATTACTAAGAAAGAAATAACAAAGAAATATAAAAGAAATGAAATGCCATAAAGCATAGAATAATCGCTTATATGCCTCTGAAATCTACAAATAATCATATTTACTTTTTAGTTAAAATGTGATTATTTGTAGAAGTCTCAATTTTTACAATGTGCAGGACGTTTAATTCATTTATTAAAATGCTCAGCTATAGCTGTTTTATATTCCCGACACATTCTTCGGATGATATAAGAATAACAGCAGTTTATTAGGACTTATTGGGGGTGCTTCTGGTGTTCACCCCAACTTTACATAAGTTCAGTATCGCAAGGTTGAATTCTGATATAGGTCCAGTTTAGTATACTGGCTAGAGGCATCTAACCGATGTGCGAGAACTGTTCTTGTACATATATGTTTGGTAGAGTAATAGTTCATTTGGTGCAGGTCAAGCGACGCATTTTATTGCTTAAATATTGTTTTTTGATATTTGAAGACAAATAACTAGGAAGTAAAGTACGAGGGTTGTCCCAGAAGTAATGCACGATATGCTCCAACTTTATCTAAAATTGATATGTACTGTATATCAGGTACAAGTATCAAAAATAGAAATTTGCACGTGGTCCATTCCGAATCTTATAGGAGCTTACATCCGAAAATCTTTTATACAATCTTTTTCGAAATAAGATAAATCATTAAGTAAAGATCCATGCAATATACGATATATCTGTGATATATTGTATGATTAAATATTAATTGAATAAACTAAATTGAATTAAGAAAAAAATTGAAAAAATGTAAATGCTGAAAAATAACCTCGCATAGTCAAGATGAAATATGCTTTAAAATATACATTTTACTCTAGGAGCGAAGAGGAAAATTCTCAATAAATAGTGTATAGTTGGTTTGGCAGCATTTCAGTCAGGGGAGAGTCTTGGATGAGACTTTTCCACCTAGGTGATAGCTTCGCAGAGTGGTAGGAAGTTCTTTTTTGAGGGGTTAGTCCCCCGACCCCCCTGGTGAAAAAAAATTCACACTAAATAACCTTAGATATTTTGATGTTTGCAAGTGACATACACAGATACATGTTTTATATATATGAATCATTTGCAGTATAATTGATACTGATCACTTCTAAAGAATTTGAATATTGATACAAAGTGTGTACCCCAGGGGGCAAATTTGTGACCCTTTTCTTACTATTTTAATTGTAACTTTTTAATTAGACACTGTAAGAGGTTAAAAATTCATGTGAAGTGCCCAATAGCAGGATTAGTAATCATGAAATATGCAAAGTCATTGAAGAGGTAGGAGCTGAGAAAGAATTGTTAATTTTTCGAAAATTTTGTCATTTTTGACAGCTGGACTTTGTGTATGACTATAGCTGACCCATATAGTTTCTAGATCCATTCCTCTATGATGATGTTTATGGATTTATAGTGTGGAACTAAGATGTAAAACATAATTTAGATGGGTTTTAAGGAAGTTAAAGGTTTGAAACAAGTCCAAAATTAGAAAATTTGTAAATATAAGATTTCAAATTTACAAATTTCAAGTATAGCCATAGCTGACCCCTACAGTTTCCAGATCCATCCCCCTGTGATGATATTTATGGTTTTGTAGTGTGGGACTAAGATGGAAAACATGATTTAGATGGGTTATAAGGAAGTTAAAGGTTTTAAACAAGTCCAAAATTTGAAAAATGGTAAATATAAGGTTTCAAATTTACAAATTTCAGGTATAGCCATGGCTGACCCCTATAGTTTCTAGATCCATCTCTCTGTGATGATATTTATGGTTTTGCAGTGTGGGACTAATATGTAAAACATGATTTAGATGGGTTATAAGGAAGTTAAAGGTTTTAAATAAGTCCAAAATTTGAAAAGCTGTAAATATAAGGTTTCAAATTTACGAATTTCAGGTATAGGGATGACCCTTATGGTTTTTACATCAATGCCTCTATGAGGAAATATATAGTTTTAGAGTGTGGAACTAAGATGTAAAACATACCCAAGATGAAGTTTTAGGTTTTAAACAAGTGCACGTTTTTAAATTTTGGACTTGTTTAAAACATTTAACTTCCTTATAACCCATCTAAATCATGTTTTACATCTTAGTTCCAAACTACAAAACCATAAATATTATCACAGACGGATGGATCTAGAAAATCCATGGCTATTACACTATTAATCCATAAATATCATCATAGAGGGATGGATCTAGAAACTGTATGGTCAGCTATAGTCATACACAAAATCCAGCTGTCCAAAATGTCAAATCTTACGAAAAATCAACAATTTCTTTCTCAGCTCCTACCTCTTCAATGGCTTTGCATCTTTTAGGATTACTGAAATTGATTCCTACAATGGGGCACTTCACATGATTTTTTAACCTCTTACAGTGTCTAATTGAAAAGTTACGATCAAAATAGTAAGAAAATCGGTCACGAATTTGCCCCCTGGGGTACATACTTTGTACTAACATTCAAATTCTTTACGAGTGATCAGCATCAATTATACTGCAAATGATTCATATACATGTATATATAATACCTGTATATGTCACTTACAAACATCAAAACATCTAAGGGTATTTAGTTTGAACAATTTTTCACCTGGGTGGAAGTTTCATCCAAGACTCTCCCTTAACTGAAAATGCTGCCAAACCAACTATACACCATTTATTGAGAATTTTCCTCCTCGCTCCTAGAGTATATGGGAAAAACTCATTTAGTTAAAGTATTATATGTCTCTGCGCAATTATTTCTACTAAACAATATATAAAACACCAGCTCAGATTATGTACATATCACATTATTTATATAAGGTTAAGTTTAAAACATTTTATTTCTGTGTCACAGGATTAAATTACATTTCTCACGTATAATAAATATTGTTAAAAACCATACAGCCGGCGTCGGCTTGGGATATATTTATGTGCAATAAAAATGAATAATGAAGAATAATGAAAGTTTTAGTGTTTTCGAATCAGAAGACAAGATTACAATAATCCATAAAGGATTAGGATGAAATTAGTAATATCCTCATTGTGTAGGTCACTGAATTTAATAGTATCCTCATTGAGATGTTCACTGAATTTTGTTGATAACAACGTGTCACTCCAATGAGGAAAATAATGGTATCCTCATTGAGATGTTCACTGAATCATGTTGATAATTTAACGTGTGACTCCAATAAGGAAAAAATGGTATCCTCATTCAGATGTTCACTGAATTTTGTTGATAATAACGTGTGACTCCAATAAGGAAAATAATGGTATCCTCATTCAGATGTTCACTGAATTTTGTTGATAATAACGTGTGACTCCATAAGGAAAATAATGATATCCTCATTGAGATGTTCACCGAATTTTGTTGATAATAACACGTGACTCCAATGAGGAAAATAATGGTATCCTCGTTGACATAATCACCGATTTATTTTGATAATTTAACGAGTGACTCTGATAAGGAAAATAATGGTATCCTCATTGAGGTGTTCACCGAATTTTGTTGATAATAACGTGTCACTCCAATGAGGAAAATAATGGTATCCTCATTGACATATTCACCGAATTTTGTTGATAATTTAACGTGTGACTCCAATAAGGAAAATAATGGCATCCTCATTGAGATGTTCACTGAATTTTGTTGATAATAATGTGTGACTCCATGAGGATGCCATTTTCATTTGTCATTAATTGATGATTAGATTCTTTATGTTTTCATCAGTAAGTTCACATTATTGTCAGTCATTTTAGGGGAGGAGCTTGGAAAAGGGCTGGTTGGTCCTAAGATATGTATCATACTAAACACTCGCAGGCTATCATTTAATCAGTATACATGTATTAAATATTCTGCAGTCAGCTGGTTTTAGATATATTATATTTCATATTTTCATATTTCAAGTACATGTATGTGTACATGTATACAGTAACAAAATAAATATATATTCAAAACAAATCCCACCCATTCTCCGACCTCCTCCCCCTCGAAAAATATTCCAAAAACTTGATTGCACACGTCATGTAATATTATATACAGGGTGATCACATATATTTTAATAAATTTAATAACAGGCAAAACAGATGTTTTGTTTGTTTTGTGCAACAAAGCTTTTGTAAACACGTGCGTGTGATAAACAGAAACTACGTTATGGTTATTGTTAAAAAAAATTCCAAAGCAATTATGTTGCTATGAATATATCATTTATCTTATAGACATTGCTACGTAATTAATAACTGTAACCACAATTAGAAAAAGTTTATGGGAAATGGGAGTCTAACCTTATATCCTTTGGTTTATTCCAAAGCAATATACTTACACTTTCTTGACCTGTAAATTATCATATTCTACCGAGACCCTTCCTCAGTTCCTGTACCACTAGCACGTGATATTAGGCCAGCTTATTATTAATAGTACAATAACGTCATTTCTAAGGGCGATATAGTGAAATATTGGACCGAGGGCCGAAAATTGCCGGTCCAGAATATATTCTAGACCGGTCCATATGGACCACCACTATGATGTCACACATTTCTCAGGTCGATATAGTAAAATAAACGCCTTCTAAACTAGCACTAAAACCCCTAGAACTGGCCCGGCAAGGTGGTAATAATAACTGGTATTGGTGATCGTAATACACTTTTCATGTGTTTATAAATCAAATTAATATCGCAGAGAGGGTCATTCAGAAAATGAAAACAGTTATCGAAATGGAATGAACACTGTAGTGCAGCCTTGTGTTCTTTTTAATAGTTGCTGGTCATTAATGTTCATTCA